CCCAGGGCGACACCAAGAGGCTCCCAGGACGGCCCAAGGTATCCCCAAGACGCTCCAAGAGCGCTCCACGACAAGCCAAGACTGCCTTTTGCGGCGCCAAGACGGCCCAAGACGCCTCTACGACGGCCCAAGAGATGCCGAAGAGGCTTCCCAGGAGGCCACATGTCAGCATCTCCGGCTTTCCGGGTTTCATGGCGTAGACGACGGCCCAAGAGGCCCCCAACACCGCCCCAAGACGGCCCAGGAGGCTCCCACAGGGGATCCACACCGGCCCGACGGAGCGTCAAGACATGTAGCCGAAGATTATGGTGGGCTGCCTCCCCCCTGGGGTGGTCCAGTGCGCCCGCACTGACAGTTGGGCAACGCACTCGGTGCGGCCGGCCAGGGGCGCTCGAGAGACCCAACCGAGACCTCGAGACCCCGCCAGCCGACGCACCAGACCCACCAGGGAGGGAGGGCGGGGAAGCTGGCGACGCCAGCCAATAGCCCTCGGCCCGCAGACGAAGCATCGTTCGCCAAGCGCCCTCCTGGGGCACCGTCGTCGGTCCGCAGACGCCAACTCCGAGCACCACGAGGTGTGCTTGGGCCCTCAGGGGATCCTTCGGGCCCACACGGGAGCCTGCGACACGGCGCCCCCCTTGCCAGGCCCTCGGGCCGCCAGGGAAGGCACAACACAACTACCCCCTCGGGAGCGAGTGCCGACACTTGATACCCCGCCTCGGACTCGGGCGGAAAACAATGCAGCCAGTAGCGACGAATCCCCGAATCCAGCCATGGCGACAAGGATGCAGCCTGCCCAGAATCTTCTTCCCCAGGAACCAAGCTCAGGGACGACGAAGATTATGGTGGGCTGCCTCCCCCCTGGGGTGGTCCAGTGCGCCCGCACTGACAGTTGGGCAACGCACTCGGTGCGGCCGGCCAGGTGCGCTCGAGAGACCCAACCGAGACCTCGAGACCCACTGCTGGGGCTCACGGCGACCCAGGCCGCACCCCCCACTGCCGACGACGTGACCGCAGCCCTGGAATACCGACGCCACTGCAAACGCCACGCCGGGGAGGGCTGGGGGGGAGGGGCGGCGGAAGGCACGGCGCAAGCACTCCGCGCATGGAAGCGACATTTTACTGGCTCACGGCGCCGGCGACCCCTCGGACGCAGACGACTCTGAGAACTCAACGAGCCACTCCGCCGCGGTCGCCGCGTCCCGCGACGCCGCGGAAGCGTAACCGAAGGCGGCCACTCCCCGCCATCCCCCGCTGTGGAACAGCGCTGGGACGCCTCCGGCCGCCAGGCACTCGTCCGCCCACCCGCGGCGGAAGGCGTGCGTGCCCCACTCTCCCGCGCGCTCGAGGCCCAGCGCCAGCGCCGCCACCTTCAGCTGGGCCAGGGCGTGCCTGTATGACAGCGCCGGAAAAACCCGCCCTGTCTGCACGCGACCGCGCAGCGCGCACACCCCGCAAAGCTGCCGGGACTGCAGGGCACAGATGCACCGCCTGGACACGACCGTCGTCTCCGTGTACGTCTTGCGCCGATGCAGGTGCACGCTGGCCGTCGGCAAGCCGTCCACGGTTGACAGGACTACCTTGGAGTGGGGCCCGTCTGCCTGCAGTGGCACCAGTTCGGACGCGAAGCGGAAGCAAAACTGCCTCGCCACTACGAACGCATCCGCTGTCTTGGGATCGTTCAGAACCTCCCGGACGTGCTGCGCCAAGGAACGTGTCTGTCGCGCCGACGCTCGCGCCCGGAACCGCCGAGTGGCCACAGCCGTTTTGCTCGCACCACGCGCCAGACACGACGTGTCCTCCAGGCACCCCAGCGGCATGTGGAGCAGCCGGAGCACAGTGCGGACCTGCGTGCAGTAGGTCATCAAACTGGCACCGTTTTGCACTGCAAATGCGAATGCCCCGAGCACTGGCTCCGACGGGGGCTAAGCATCAACCCCGAGGTTCCGGGCCACTTGCCCCCACAGGCGCACCGGAGAAGCATGCTTGTATGCGCTCCGGTGCCACGCGAGCAACTCGCGTCTGAGAAGTTCCTGCGTTGCCATGAACCCGGCCATCTCGGGCCCAATCTGGGCCGCGCGCTCCCGCGGATTGCCGGGGATGCCACCGTGGCGCTTCTCCCACGCAAGCTGAAACTCCTCCGGCGTGACGCGGCCCAGCGTCTGCACCGCGTCCGCCATCTCCCCGGGGCTCACGAGCTCGCGCCGGAGGCGCGCTGCAGCGAGGAAGCCGAGCGCCGCCAGCGCAGCCTCGCCAGTCTCCGCGGCATGCCCTGTGGCCGGCGCCTCGTCCTCTGCATGCGCGGGCCCTCCTGCTGGGGGAACCTTGCTGGCCGCCGGCGCAGGCGCGCCCCGCTGGGCGCGGGCCTCGGTCTGCGCGGCAGGCTGCCCCACCGCGGCGCGGGCCGGAACGGTGGACAAGGCCGCCGCGAACTCGTCTCGAAGCCCGTGGAGACACGGCCACACGTCCTTCAGCTCTTGGACGCCCGAGCCGGAAAAATCCGATCCGTCAACAGCGCCCCCCGGTGCCAGGCCCCTCAGAACGCACTGGGGCGACGGCGGATGGCACGCGGGAGGCGCGCGCCTGAGCACGGCGGCGAACCACTCGCTCAACGCCACTGGGGCCAGCGTAGGCACCGCCGGGTCTGCCAGCGGCGGCCCGATCAGGTTTGCCGGTGACGCGCGTGGGGCCAGCTCAGGGCCGCCATCGCCACGAGGCTGCTTGCCCCGCAGGCGTTTCCGGTCCATCTTGGGCCACACCGGCTACGGATGACGAGGAATGCGGGCCCAGCAAGCCTGACTGACGGCAACGGACGACCGACATGCATTACTTGTTTTCCTTGAGCGCACAATACTTTTTCCCTCGCTGGTTCACGCCTGCCAAAAGTCTACTGACGGCCAAGCCCACTCGAGCCGGGAAAAGCCACTGGCAGCCAAACGCTGCATCTCGCTCGTCTTCAGCTCCTCCCGGGTTGGCCAATCAGCAACATTGAGATGCGACGGCACGCGAAAAACGCTGAGAATATGGGCGCGGTCTGCCGCGGCGAACCATATGCCAGACACTATGTCGTTCCAGTCGCGCTGCCGTGAGCAGCCGCGAAGCAGGGTGCCCAACGCCACTAACGAGTCTATGAACAACACTATGTCGAGGCCACCCGCGTTCGCGGCTGATTCAAAGAAATACCACAGAGCGCAGACAGCGGCCACCAGCTCCCACGTGGCGATTTGCTGCCGGCGGAAGCACGCCCGCTGGTTGAGCCAGCGGGGGACTCGCGCGGAAGCAAAAACTTTCTGGCCTGCAAGCACCGCGGCCCAAGCCAGCGTGCCTGCCCCTGTAGCGTCTGTGTAAACCACCAAGCGCGGTTTGCTTGATGGCTCCAGAGGCAGACTCCTACGAGGATTCGTTGCCAGAAACCGTTGCCACCATTCAAGCGCCCTGACCAGACGCATCGGCATCCGGCTGCTGTTGCCATAAGCGTGCCGGAACAGTGGGGCGAGGTACACGCGCGCCCCCTTGCCAAAAACTTCCGTGGCCCCCCAGCTGAGCCGCCCGGCTAGTTTCTGCGCGCCTGCTGGGGAGAGCCTCCGGCTGGCCAGGATGTCTGAAATCTCTGCCAACCACTTGGTGCATTTTTCGGCCGGCGCGACAAAATGCAGAGACCGCGCCCCTGCGTCGAGGGACACGCCCACGCCGAGTGCAGTGAAACCGCGAGCGGCGGTGACCTCCTTTTGAGTGTCAAGCCGCCACCCGAGCAGCTCCTGGATCACAGAGCGGGCGACGGACGCGCTGGTGGCTGCAGTATTGTTGCCGGCCATGGCACTGTCTGCATCTGCTCCAAAAAAGTCGTCCACGAAACGCGGATACACTATGCTGAACAGATTCAGAAGAATGCACTGGAAGGCAATGCACACGCGCTGCCACGCGTGGACACTCGCTTTCGCCCCAAACGGGCAGCAGAGCAGCTGCAGGAAAGACCCCCGCTCAACCGAGTCAGCCGTTGCGGCGGCTGCAAACGGCATGTGGTCTTCGCGCAATGGCAACGTCTTATACGCACTGCACACGTCGTCCTTCCGGAACCGGATGTGCTCCACGCCGGTCCCGCCAGCGACTAACGCCTGGACGGTTGCTGCCAGGACGTCGAGCGTCTCGTGCTCAATGCACTCCAGCGCCGCGGCCGTGGAATTGACCCCAGAGGCTGTGAGGTCATCGATGGCCCGTACTTTCAGGGGCCGCCGGCCGTCCACGACCCGCCAACCCTCGTCGGCAGCGAAGCGCGGCGAGAGCACGACGCCGGCGAGGTCGGGCGGCAGCGGGCGCCAGCCGGCCTGGCCGGCCCCCACTTCCGCGCGCGTGCGCTCGCGCAAGGCCTCGGCCACGTTAGCATCCGATGGCCTTGCTGCTCTGACTCTCTCAAGAATGCGTTCGTTCTGCTCCGGCGCGCCCTGGAGAAGCTGCTCGGGGGACTCGCCGGGCAGCCCAGCGCACGGGCGCATAACGCCGCTGCGTGGTATCTCCCCGACGAGGGGGAAACCGTGCGCCAGATCTGTCGGTGGCGCGAGGTCCGGCGAGCCGGCCGCCTCGAGCATTTCGGCAAGCAGCGCCAGATTCTTCTCCGGCCCCAGGATGGACCGCACGTGGGCGGGCAGGCCCGCGTATTGAGCCAGCCACGCTGGAGCCGTCGCGCGCTGGCGGTGCCGCCAGAATGCCAGCTGGCGGGTCCTGAACGAAAAAACTGCACTAGGGTCGGCGCAATGCCAATTAATCGCTGACCTGTACGCCTCGGGGGTCTCCAACACCCCGGTGCACCTCGGGAGGCGCAGCGCCCAGTCTAAATGGCTCAGGGGGCCCTCGCACCCGGAACCGGAAGGGTCCTGTAAACACGTGTCCACTGCATCGCGGAGCGCAGCGAAACCGCAGGCGGCGCCGGGGGCACCAGCAGGGCTCTCTGAGAACCCCTCCGCGTCGGAGGACGCGTCGCTCGGGTCGCTCTCCGGGCCGTCTCACCAGTTCGACCACTTCTGCTCGGGCTGCTTCCAGGCCTGCTTCTTGCCCCAATTCTGCTCCCACTTCTGCTCGGGCCCCTTGCCCCCGGCGCCCTTGCCTTTCGGCTTCCTGCTCGCCGCCGGGCTCCTGGGGCGCCGCAGCAAGGGCGACGCCGGGGCCGGCGAGGTCTTGGCGCCGCCGCCTTTGCCGCCCTTCTGGTCACCCTTGGGCGCCCCGGCGTTGCCGCCAGCAGCGGCGGGCTGCTTCCCGGTCACCCGGCTGGCCTCCTCGGCGCGCTTCGACACCTGGTGCTTGGCGTCCTGCAACACATCCCTGTCGAGCTTGCAGAGGAGCGCCTCGATCTGGTCGTTCTGGCCAAGCTCCAGCGCGTGGGCGAGCTTCTGCCGCAGGAGCATGTCGTAGTAGAACACGACGCGGCCGCCACCCTGCTCCTCTGACATTTTGACCAGCTGGAGCTCGTAGGCCCAGAACTGCACCGGGGTGATCACCTTGGACAGCACCATCTTGAGGCCCCAGTCGTGCAGGTGGCCCATGAAGTTGGCGAAGCCCAGGAAGCCAGTGCGCTCCTCTGCAGTGCGGGCGCGCTTTGCCTCCCGGGCATCCCGCGCTTTGTCGTCCAGTGAGCCAGACCCGAGGGGCAAGTCCAGCTTGGGTGTCTTGGAGAAGCCGGGCCGGAAGTTGACGATCAGATCCTCGCCCTCGGAGGACCCGACCCACTTGCGGCTCTTGTCTCTTGCGACCTTGGCGGAGGCAAGGTTCTCCATTCGCAACAGAGACTCCTCGGTAGGGAGCAACTCCGGCGACAGTTTCTGGATGCACTGCAACCCAACCTCCGTCACCCTGGCCTCCAGGTTGAAGCTCGAGGTGCCGCGCTTGGCCTCCTTCTCGGCCTTTGCGTTCTGGACCTCCGCCCACTTGGCGATGGCCTGCGCCGTCTGGTCTGCCTGGCTACTCGGGCCCGGCGCGCTCGCGGCCGATGACTGCTGGGCCTTTGATTGGACCCTTAACGCCAAGTTGACGTGAGCCGGCTTGACCACGAAGGCCTTCCACTGAACGCCCTCGCTCTCGTCGGGGAAGGGTTTCGTGTTAACCGCCATCCCCGAGATGATGAATTGGCGCATATGGGCGTCGCAGATGTCTGCCGGCTCCACCGACCCCGCCACGTCGGCGAGCACGCGGGCCGTGCTGGCGTAGAAGAACAAATCGTGTTTGTTCTTCGGCTCCTCGTCCACAGACATCACGTAGTCGACCCAGGCCGCACGCTTCTCGAGCGAGTCGACCCCGAACGCAGACTCGGGAAGCCCGGCGAGCGCGGCGCGGACCTCGGAGCCGGTGAACGCCATCCGTCGTGAGAGCGGGTGTGGCCGCGAGAGTACTGTGAACGCCTGGGCTGCAGTCGCAGAAGAACCGGCCGCGTGGCAGAGTCCTCGAGCCCAAAAGGCAACGGGACCACGAACGGCGATGGCACGGGAGGGGGGCCAAGAATCCGCACCTCCCCGAAGGGCGGCCCAGCGCGTGCCCATTGCCCTGCTTCAATAATGGGCATCCCACTTTTGGGATGCCCCTTCTCGCACGTCGCACTCTGCACAGCACGCGCGCGCGATAATGCACACGGGGCATTCATGTTTTGAATGCCCTGTTACAATCCCTGGTTGGTTGGCTTGAACAGGCTAGGCGGAGTATTCCGGAGTACTCCGCCCATGGTTGCTGGGCGCCTTCGGTTGGACCTCCGCCACACGGAGGACGTCTGGGGCGGATTGCACCCGCCACTGCCACGCGAATGGGGGGGGGTCCAATTTGGGGATCCCCCCTTTCTGCGGTTGCCTTGCCTGCCGCCTGTGCAAGGCGCGCGGGTAACCCCCGGCGCGGCGTGGATAACCCCCTGTGTACGGTTGCCCCGTAGCACGGGCTTCGCCCGTTGACTGCATGCGTACAGGCGCCCCACGCACGAGCAGCCAACACCCCCTGCCACTCGGCCGGGGCCAGGACACGTGAAGACACGGATGAACGGAGGGAGGGGGGGAGGAGGAGGAGGAGGAAAAACAAAGAAACAGGGAAGCGCAGTTATCGTCGCAGATGAGCGTGCCCGTCCAGCGGGCCACCCAATCGTCCAGGGCATCGCACGAAGCCGCCCCCGTCACGCATAGGCCACGGTCCGCGCAGGCCCCGCCAGCCAACACGCCCCTCACACCCATCACTTTTCGATTTTCCAATTTGAGCGGGGGGAGCGAGGATGAATGATGTGTGAATTACGGGGACCCGCACGAAACGAGGACCTCGAGGGCCTCTGTGCGGTCAAGGCGGCGCGCCGCCAAGCCCAAGCTGCCCTACGGGGCAGGGGGGCGAATGCTGGCCGATCGGCCCAGCAACCAGGAGTACTCCAGAGTACTCCGCCTCTGGTTGTGGGGCTGCCCTCGGACAGAGCCCTGCGTGGGTTTGCCCTCGGGCAGGGACCCTGGGAAGGGGTGTCCTCGGACAGAGCCCTGCGTGGGTTTGCCCTCGGGCAGGGACCCTGGGAAGGGGTGTCCTCGGACAGAGCCCTGCGTGGGTTTGCCCTCGGGCAGGGACCCTGGGAAGGGCTGCCCTCGGACAGAGCCCTGCGTGGGTTTGCCCTCGGGCAGGGACCCTGGGAAGGGGTGTCCTCGGACAGAGCTCTGCGTGGGTTTGCCCTCGGGCAGGGACCCTGGGAAGTGGTGTCCTCGGACAGAGCCCTGAGTGGGTTTGCCCTCGGGCAGGGACCCTGGGAAGGGGTGTCCTCGGACAGAGCCCTGCGTGGGTTTGCCCTCGGGCAGGGACCCTGGGAAGGGGTGTCCTCGGACAGAGCCCTGCGTGGGTTTGCCCTCGGGCAGGGACCCTGGGAAGGGGTGTCCTCGGACAGAGCCCTGCGTGGGTTTGCCCTCGGGCAGGGACCCTGGGAAGGGAAGGGGGCTACGGACAGAACCTGGTCCCCGTCTGCGCGTGGAGACGGAATGCGCCCTCTCTCCGCCTTGTCAGGGTTGCCTTGTGCGCCCTTTCGTCCACACTGCACCGGCGGTTGGCCGAGTGGACCAGCTGGTTGCCAGGGTTGCCTCGTGCAGGGGCCCTGGATTAATCCAGGCGGGGGCTGGATTAATCCAGCCCCGGCGCCAGAGCCCGTCGTCGGTCCGCAGACGCCAACTCCGAGCACCACGAGGTGTGCTTGGGCCCTCAGGGGATCCTTCGGGCCCACACGGGAGCCTGCGACACGGCGCCCCCCTTGCCAGGCCCTCGGGCCGCCAGGGAAGGCACAACACAACTACCCCCTCGGGAGCGAGTGCCGACACTTGATACCCCGCCTCGGACTCGGGCGGAAAACAATGCAGCCAGTAGCGACGAATCCCCGAATCCAGCCATGGCGACAAGGATGCAGCCTGCCCAGAATCTTCTTCCCCAGGAACCAAGCTCAGGGACGACGAAGAGCCGCCCAAGACGGCCCGGTAGGGCCGCAATACGGCCCCCAGAGCTTCCCAACACGGCCCAAGGTTCCCCCAAGACGGCCCTAGAGCGCTCCAAGAGGTGTCGAAGATAGCGGGGCGAGGCACCGGGTGTGCTTCCACTAACACCGCCTCCACCACCGCGTTCCTGCCTTGAGGCCTGCTCTCCTGCATCCCTCGCCCACCTCCCCCTCCAGCGGCCACCTCCTCCATCCACGCCGTCCCCTCCAACCTCCCCTCACCCGGCCAGAAGGCCGCGGGTCAGCCCTAGTCAGCTACAACGCTGGGATCAGTGCGTGCGCGAAGGGCGAGCAGTGGCAGCGGGCCCTGGCGCTGCTGAGCGAGATGTGGGAGGCGAAGCTGGATCCCAACACCATAAGCTATAGTGCTGGGATCAGCGCGTGCGAGAAGGGCGAGCAGTGGCAGCGGGCCCTGGCGCTGCTGAGCGAGATGCGGGAGGCGAAGCTGGAGCCCAACGTCATTCCTTCTCTATGGCGGACATCAGCGCGTGCCAAAAGGGCAAAACAGCGCATGTGGACCAATGCGCCCCCTGGAGGGCCATTTTTCGACACCCATCACGAATATCCTGGCCATAAGAGGCTCTAAGGAGCGTCCAAGAGGCCCCCTAGAGGCCCCCGACAAGGCCCAAGAGGCCTCCAAGAGTCTCCAACAGTCCTCCGAAGCATGCCCCCAGAGGCCAAATCCTTCATTTGTCCATTGTTTTTGAAGGAGTTTTGCCTTCTCGCCTTCTCGGCTAGCCGACGCTCCAAAACGTCCGAAGAGACCCACAAGACCGCCCCAGGACGGCCCAACAGGCCTCAAAGCGCGTCCCCAGACGGTCCAGGGAGTCACAAGATGGCCCAAGAGGCGCCCAAGACGGCCCCAGAGGACCCCAAGCCAGGCCCAAGAGGGGGCCAATGGGCGCTCGTGAGGCTGCCTTGGATGTTTCTTGGGCCGTCTCGGGTGCCTCTGGAGCTGTCCTGGGGCCGTCTCGGGCTGTGTTGGGGCCCTCCTGGGGGCGTCTGGGGGCGTCATGGGGCGATCTGGGGGCCTGTACAGCCGTCTGGGAGACTGCGCAGACGGAAAGGCTTGGAGACGAAGCAGTGGGGGCCGGTACAGCCGTCTTGCAGACGGGGCGGTGGGGCCGTCTTGGGGCCGTCTTGGGCCATCTCGGGCGCCTTTGGAGCCGTCCCGGTGCAGTGTGGACGGCCCCATCACTACAAACAGCGCCCTCAAGACGGGCCTAGACGGCTCCAAGACTGCTTTTTGAGGGAGCCAACGCGGCCCCACACCCTTTGGGCGAACACTTGGGGGGGCTGGGAGCTTGCGACAAGTCTCCCACATTCACAGTCCTGCCCCATTCTGTTCGCCTGGAGGCCTCCTCCAAGCCTGTGGGCGAACAAGAGGAAACCCAGCGGGCCGCCAACCCTGGGGCCCGTGGGCCCCGCGCCGCTTGGGCAGAAGACGAACGCCGGGTCTGACAGGCCAGCTACCGCCCCCCTTTTTGCCCGATATGTTGTGCTATTCTGTTCCCCCCAGGGGCCTTGGCAAACTCTTCGGGCCAACCAGACCGGACCCCTGGGACAGCAGCCAATTGATATGACCGAGGCCCCTCTCCGCACTCTTCGGACCACAGACCCTCTGGGCGAGCAGAATGGGACTTGGCGAACAAACCCTCCCATTGGCGGCGATGCGACTGGATCGCACTATCAAGGCGTGCCCGGAGGTGATGGCCGAACCAACAGCGGTTTCTGTTAAGATTTGACTGAATTTCAAATTTTCTTTAAGCTCTCTTGGGCCCTCCCTGTAGATCCTTGCGCTCCCCGGCGCTTTCGGTGGTTTTCCCCGATGGCCTCCCGAGCCCTTCCCCAGGCGCTCCTGAGACGCCTCAGATGGGGTTCGACTTCTACGCACATCCCCGAGAGACTTCGAAACTGCCCTCAATAGGAGGGGGGTGAACGAGCAGCGCGCCGGGGCCAAGCTGCTGGAGCGCTGCAAGAGCTCGGACACGAAGGCGCGGTCTCGCTGCCGCCGCCCGAGCCGCCGCCGTGTTTGTAGATTTTCGGTGCAATCTGCGCCGTTCCTGCGAGAACCATTCCAGAAAGATGTCGTGGACGGAGTCCACGGGTCAGCCCTAGTCAGCTACAGCGCTGGGATCAGCGCGTGCGAGAAAGGCGAGCACTGGCAGCCAGCGCTGGCGCTGCTGAGCGAGATGTGGGGGGTGAAGCTGGAGCCCAACGTCATCTACACTACAACGCAGGGACACGTGCGTGCGGGAAGTGCGGGCGCTGGCTGAACGTACCCGGCCCCCTTGTCGCCCCACGAAGGCCCGAGACGCACTAGATGGCCACAGAGCGCCCAAAACGGCCCAAGAGGGCCTTCGACTGGGTCCCACAGCGCTCCGAGATGCCCAAGCTAGGCACCAGACGGCCCAAAAGTCCTCCCGACACGCTCCAAGTCGGCTCCAGGACGAGCCCCCAAAATGCCAGACCAATGACAAATCGTTAGAATTCCTATGGAGAACGAGCCTTTTTCCAGGTCCACTGCTTTTCGTCCACTGCGATGTCCACACGGCCCTACTGGCCCTCCAGATCATGCCACCACGCCGCTGGGACCCCCCTGGACGGCCCCAAGACGGCCCCACGATGGCTCTTGAGGCGCCGATGGCAGCCCAAGAGGCTGCCATGACAGCGCCGCGACGGTCCCAAAACGAGTCAAGACGGCTCCGAGACTGCTCCAAGACGGCCCCAGAAGCGCTAAAGACGGCCTCCTACCGCCCCGAGACGGCCCCAGAGGCGCCCAAGAGGGCCCCAGACGGCCCCAAGACAGCCCAAGAGGCACCCCAGACAGCCCTGGAGGGCCCCGGGAGGCCCTAATGCTGCACCCAGGCA